GGGGGGGGGGGACATAATACCTGTGTAAGAAAGTTGCCACTTTTGAGGATTTGGATTTGTATGGCTTAGGCACACAGATAAGAGGCAAATTATATTTTCATCAGGGATAATACAAAGCAGCGCAAGACACAAAAGCTGGGGAGGAGGTGGGGGGTGTAAGGGGGATGGGGTACACATCGAGCTGCTGTCGTTCCAGTGTAATGCAGCTTAGCATTTGATGGGTGCAATCAGGAGCTGTGATTTCTATAGGAGGGATTAATCCATTTACTCTCAACTGGGGACAGGTCAGAGATATCGCCTCTTTTCTTCCCCTGTATTGATCTGTCACATCTCTCCGCAGAGTCGGGGAAGAGACGACCTTCAATTCCTCCCCGCATGTCAGCAGAGTTGAGCTGTGACTTTATTTGATAATGAGACCATCACCTTGTTGGGTTGATCTTTATTCCCCAAAGCATGTCTGATAGGGATCCAGCTCCAATGCGGGCACATTTTGCGTTAGCTTTGTAGATGTGGCCTTGCATTTCTCCCTGTTGTCCATAAACACATTGCTTAAATGCTTAATGTGAATAAGAGTTTTTGATGCCCACAGATGGAGATAAAGTATGGAATTTGTGTGAGGTGCTAAATTAGTGTTGTCCCCCCCCCCCCCCATCATTAGAGTGGTACTGGGCCTGTGGCCACCGACGGCCCAGTGCAGCAACAAGGCACCTGGTCGGCAACCCCGCTCAACCAAGTCGTCCAAAGGAAGGTCACAATGACAGGACAGCAGCAACAGGGAACAGTCGAAACACCGCAGGCTGGCCGAGGGGGCATGGGCAACCCACAGCAAAACAGGGTATGTCATAAATGAGCACGTCTGTGCTTTGGACACCAGCAACCATTTCACCTAAAATATATATATTAACAGTACAGACTGTGAGATAATGGCAGTTCTGAAATAAAAGAAGCTGGAATGTCTCCTGTAAAGTTGTCCTGTGCCGCTGGCGCTACCCTGGCATTCAGTAGACATACCAATCGAGCAGTAGTGGTAATAAGACAGGACAGTATGCCAGGTGCAGGAGTATTGACAAGCCGAAAGCAGTGTAACACAGGGGGCTACACAAGGTCCCCTGGCCTCTCTGCACGCCTGTCACCACCAGGCTGCTGTCACAGTTACCATACTCACTGATGCTGACAGGGTAAGGCAGTCACCATAACGCTTGCATGGCTCCCTCTCCCTTTATACTCCCCTGCCCCCAACACACACACACACACACACACATATTCCCTCTACCTCCACTTGTCTCTTTTTGGAGTCTCTCCCTCCTCCACCTTCTCTTCCTCTGCAGCTCAAGAAACATAGCTCTCACTCTCAAGCTCAAATGAAGATATGCCATGCCAAATGCATCATGTTCTGACATTGATGTTCTATGTAGAAATATGATAAGTCAATCATGTGAAAGCTTGGCGTGTCTGAGAGGTGCGAGAGGAAAACACAGCGTTTTACAATTTTCCTTTGTGCTGAGAAATAGTATAGCTCCTCTCCACACGGTTGAATACAGGATTAAAAACTCAAAATGCCTGTTTAAGCAGTGAAAGGTTCGGTCTGTGTTTTTTGCCGTCTTTCTCTCAATTGTATTTTTTTCCTCATGTGGGCAATTTTTTTCACACCTGTCGTAGGTTGTCGTGTCGGGCCGGGGCCGAGGTAGAGGGGCTGGTCCGATAGGTCGAGGTCGTCCGGTGTCCACCAGACAGAGCCCAAGAGTTGCAGAGACCGATCGCTGTACTGTGTCCATAGAGGGCCTCTCCTCATCCACAACTGACACTCAGCTGAAGAATCTTCTCAGGTCCATTGGCCCAATAGAGGTAGATACACTGAAGTGTGCATTTTTATTGTATTGTAGAACTTTTTAACACTTAATGTTATTAAAGCATCCAGTTTATATAAAGACTAACACAATTCTTTGCCGTCACTAAGATCTTTAAATTGTAACTAATGCCAAATCTACTTATTTGTCATTTTTATATTTAAGCTATGTACATCATGGCGAGAACTTTAAACATAGATATTTACTTGTACACACCTAAGTTGCAGTAATTGCATTTTCTTAGTGTGATCCCATAGCGCCCTCTGTTGTAGTGATTAGGTAGGTAGAGTGAAAGGATTAATCAGTTTCCGTCCACCACCCTCGCTCCCTCTTGTGGATAAGGGGAGAGTCTAGGAGTACTCAATTTGTATTTTACTATTTCTTTGTATTGCAGATGTTCAAAATGATGCCCCAGCAGAGGAAAGCAGTCGCCAAATTTTCCAGTGCCCAGCATGCTTCCAGTTTCCAAATGAGCTTCCATAGGTAATCAATATTCCTTCCTCTTTTCATCATCTTTATAGATGTTGCAAATGTGATGGTTTTGGATATTATGTTGTACACCTTGTGTGCAGCACAACATAAGTGTTCATTAGTGTCTTTGCCCCAATGGTTCAAACATTATTATCACAATTGCTACACAGGCACATGATTGATTTGTCCCACATTGATGTGTCGCTGATTGATGGATGAGGAGCACAATAGAGCCAGGGAGTCCTGTTACAAGAAGTCACTTTCTCCCAACGTGGGAGCCTCTCGTGTACAGCTCCAACCCTGGCATAGGAATATTTCATCGGCCCTTTGGGGGTCACCCACACACGGTCAACGTCTCCGCACAGAAGCATCGTTCATCTCCTGTCAACTTGGAACAGTGAACATAAAGACCTTGGCTGCGAGCATGTCATTGTTTGACACTGTCTACCAATTGTCCATTGTTGTAAAATGGCACTGGAGAGACACTGGACATTTAATCCAACTTTGATGTAGTTTGTGAGGAATGTTTTAAGCATCTTACACGGACAATAGGTAGAACTTGTTATATGATAATGGTTGCTCCCCTCCTCAGTTAGATTCATTATTAAAACAAATAGAACACTTAAACGTTGTCATTTTGATGTGACCACTTCATCATAGTTTTTTTATTATTTGTGGCTCGTTCTGGTCTGGTTCGGATGCAGGAAGTGGTTGTGACAGACTGTGGCCAGCCTGTTCACATACAGTAGCAGTGTTTCTCCCCCTCTGTAGATGGCGGTATTTCATCACTAATGGTGCTTAATTTTTTTCCACCTCAAGTTCGCTTTCAGGTACAGATGAGTCTCCATCAGTTTTTGGGTGAATGGCACTACCTAGTGGAGAACGTGCATACAGGCACAGGATGATTTTAAAAATTTGACACATAGTAGTGGCTGGGTCCAAATTGGCATTGGATATAACATGAATACGTTTTTTTTTCTAAATTCCCAGTCAAAATTGTAAATGTTGTGACTCTTGTGTAGATTTTGTGGTGCTTTTCAGTTTCAGTTATGCTTCTGGGACAGTTTGGTCAGATCATCTCTCGATTAGGGTAGTCACTTTGGTCATTTGGCATTTCTCCTTGTTCTAAATGTTATTAGGTCTTTTAACTGTTACATGGAATCCATTTTGGAATAATCCTCCATGCCCTTTGGATGTATATTTTAGTTGTATGTGTGATTATGGAGTAGTTAGATTTAGGTTTCGAAATGTGCAGCGTGTGCACTGAGGGAATGTGTATAAATGTTTTTTGGAGATTTTTTATGATTACAATTTAAATGCATATTGTTCGGGATTTGATAATTAATCGTAGATTTGGTAGATCAGAGAGAATTGCTTACAGTTCTCTGCAAGATATGCAAACACTATGTACATTTTTTGCTAGGATATACATGAGGCTTTCTCCGCTCTGGTAATATGGATTGGAATCTGCGTGACCATCAGTTAATTTTGGTGCCTTATCTTTTGAGCTGCATAGTGTACCTGGAAGAGCACTTTGAACAGTTTGCCTTTCACACTGAGCTAGATGTTTGGCAGTAGAGCAGAAAGGGAAAATAAATTCACTGCAGTACTTTGCCCCTTAAATTGAATTCCCCTTATTATAGTGAAGACATCCTCTGTAAATTCTGAGATCTTACTCATATTGATATCGTACTCCTACATAAAGACACATTTCTTCAGATGTGTGTGAAGTTGTTGTACAATCTCTAATGCATCACTTTATTTTAATTTTCTATGAGCGTGAGCTCTTGTTTGGGGGGTGATGCCACATCAATGAAAACCTTAAATTTTTCAAAATACTCAATTTCCATGTCTGGGTCCTCGATTTCATTAGACATCATTATTTAAAGTAAATATAGCAATTTAGGCTCATTTGCTTTTTACATAATCCCATGATTTTTTTCTTCCTCATACAACATTTTTGTTAAAGCTGGGTTAAATGTTTGTGAAACAGAAGCAGTTCTTTTAAATATTAATACATTATTACCCGTATTAACTAAAAACTAAAGTTTAGTTAAGATGTGAATGTCGTGTACATTATTTGCAGGAATGTGTTAAAGGAAGCCGAGGGGGCAACCATTATCCGTGTAGTGATCATGTACATAAGTAGACCAGAACTTTCTCTCAATATTTATCCTGTTAAAACAAATTTTGAGTTATTCTTTACTTTCGTTGTATCATCACAATTTTATATGTAAGGATGTACCAATGTGTCCAGACATAAATCATTTTACAAATGTTTTGTTTCTAATTTAGAGCCAAAATGAAGAATGACTGGACCACATTTCTGTTTATAAGACATTTGACAAAAAGTTTAAGGGAAAATAAAAACATGGCCAATATACCCTGAGCATGCAGGTATGTGAAGCCGGTTAAACTTTAGCCCAAAGATGTGTGGTTGTGTGTGATGTCCATGTGTCCGGTGCCTTTACGATGAATAATCTTTCTCATTTGTGCTGCATTTTATTCATTGATTCTTTACGTATTCTGTAAGTTCCTGGGTATTTAACTTGCAACATATCACATATATATATATATATATTTTATAAAGCGTTTTTTAACACCTTGTATGGCAAGAAATACTACCTCATGTAGATTTAGGGGGGATGCCACTGAATTTTGGCAATGAAATCATTTGCTTCATAACTTTTTATAGAAACATGAGAATGTTTTCCCCTGCCCATTTAACTGTGATGTCATACTAATGTTCAGCTCCCTACAGCCCGGACATGCTAAAGGTAAAGCAATAGACAAAGTAGCAGCATTTTAAACAATTTCACTGGATTTTGTTTGGTTGGAATAAGCCATAATGCAAAGATAATTTGGAGGGTTGACATTTAGACATCTCTTTAATTACCGTTCGTAAATCAGCTCCTGGCTGTGCATCTGGATGACATCACAGATTAAGTTATTGGTTCTCTGGTAACAATTCATATTCACAAGTGCTTTTTGGCCTCTGTCCTTGACTGCATGTGTGAATCAAATCAATAGATTTAGTGGTATTTCCCTTTTAAAAAATATTTCCCATTACTTGAAATAACTCAATTCACTTCAAGTTTTAAAATAAGCTGCACATGTGTGATTCTTGCCAGTAAAGGTTTCTAGATTCTCAACATGCTTTACATATCAGAAGCTTTGGGACAAATGGGGTGTGTTTAAACTCCTCAAATTCCTTCTTACTTCTTGTAAAACTTGAGGTTGCGTGGTTTCAAGTCTTTTTGTATGTTGTACAGTTGTTCTAAACTTCTTTATGTTTTATTCCTTTTGTTTTGAGTTGAACTGATGTAGAAGTTTTTGTTCCCTAACAATGTGTATTTAATGTCTTCCATGTTGTGCGTTACATTTTTACTTTTCGTACTTTTTAGTGCTGTGGTAAATCCTGTGGATTTAAAAAAAGTATCGGCAATGCCATTGATAGTTATATTGGTATAAGACACCTGGTCTTGTAATGACAGAACAGATTCATATTGGATCTATTTGTACCTTAATTTTAAGAATTTTGTACATACATGCACCTTGAACTACGATGTTCTATTTCTCAGAGTAATTTTCTTGAGGAAAACGGTGATCTGAATGGTGATGAGAACTTGATTTACAGTAGGCTATATTACTAGCAGGATGTTTTTCCACTTACATCACCTCATGGTTGCAGTACAGTATTTAGATATTTGATTAAGCTCATCTGTGACATGTCTGTGGGGCTTTCTTATCCTTCATTATGACTGCTAATGACTAGTATCAATATGTTTTATATGAGCTTTGGGTTAAATACGCAACACTAGCTGGCTTGGGTTATACACAACACTAACAACTTCTTTTTCCATAGGTCCATTTGGTGATCCATGTTGCTGCTGCTGGCTGAAATAATCATTTCTTTGTTTTTCCTCAGGTTACATCTATCTCAGCAGAGCCGTGTCTCAAGCTGTCATCGATATGGTTGCTAGCCCCAAAAGCAAAGTTAAGGGACCATACCAAGGGTTCAGCATGTTTTTAGCAAATCAACAAATTGGGTTATAGATGTGTTATAATTTACTAATGGCTACTTAACAAATTATAACTACAACTTTCCCCAACTTCATATAGCACTGTACGAAATCAATTTGCAAGATAAGTCACATCAAACTATCAGTTGGCTTTACTTTTTGTCAAAGTTATGTTAATGTTGCACGATAAAGCAGATATTATTGGTGCCTTGTGCTTTTAGATCTGGGTAGTTGGGTAGCTTTTCATATGTCCCTTTTTAATGAGATCATTTAAGGTTAACTTTGCAAAAAAAAAACCCAGCCGGTCATTTGAAACCACTTGCTGTTTTGAAGACATTTCCTTATTTCTCAAAGGCTTTGTTTTTTTTTTTATCCTGCTGGTGTGAAAAATAATTCATTTGCTGCATGTTGTATACAACACATCACCAAACTGGTAGCTTTTAATTTATTTGTATAATGTTTCCTCAAGTTATGCTAAACAACTAAGAAGATACAATATGTCATCTCCAGGTAGTGCCTTTGGTTGGTTCAAGTAATAGTTGCACCTTGTTTATTTAAGTTGCCTATACACCAGATGGACTAGTTTTTGTACCAGCAAAACACAGCATCAAGTGTTGTCAAATGACCTACCTTTTTATTTGCCTTGTATTTATCTTGAAGGAAATCAGTGGCTTAAATCTGTGACTCTGATGTAATCATTAATGCAAAAGTCTTAAAACGTAGAAGTATTGATTACATGAGAGGTACAAACAAGTTGAGCAAATGCATGCAAAACCATTGGCATGGTCCAACACTTGCGGTCCTCCTGGTTTTAGCACAGTGGGCTTTTTGAGGTTGTAGCTGCACAGATGTTTTGTTTTAGACGCCACTATACAAATTTGTCTTAAAAAACCACACCTGATAGTGACCACCAGTCACGACGGGTGTCCCCAAAACAGAATGACCTCTAGTATTTTAACACATTGATTTTTCAACAGCGTACTGGTGAGAGGAGCCATTGACCAGCTTTTAGCCGTGATACGACTATGTCACTTTTCCTGCCTTAACTCACTCACTCACTTAAAACTTAAGGTTCTTTTTACAGCCATGCAGTATCCGGCCTTGGAACGAAGATTTTACTTGAGCTTGCTTCCCCCACTAAATAGATGTTGCCGCACTCAGACTATTGGTCCCGACACATTTCCTTCCATTAATGCTTTTCCTGCCATCGCTGTTCTTCCAACTTTCATATGTGACAGTCACTCATCTTTTCTTCAATGCTGCCGTGGTTGAATGAACTTAAGACTTCTGTATCAAGCAGGGTGGCCTACCTGGATTACCATTGTTTGTTAGCCCAGTGGATGGAGGTTTCCATCTCTGTGACGACAGCCGGGTTCACAGAGCAGACACGTTACTCTAAAGCCGCTTTATGGCTTTCACTGCACCAAAGGTCATCCCAGCTTCTTGACATGCATTGTTTGGTTGGATGTTGAAAAAGACACTACAGTGGTTTCCTCCTCTCGAACAGTATGGTGCACCAAATAATGACTGAAAATCCAACCTCGAGTTTTGACTATAACTGTTGACAATCCATCCTGTCATGTGTGTTCACACTTTGAAATGAAATATGAATGAAATAATCACATTTTCTGTTGGAAAATCTGAAATCACTGTGAAATTTGTTGTGATACTGTAAATGATGTGATTTTTTAAAAAGAGATTTTATGTTTTTTAAAAAGTGAATAATTCTTAAAGAGATGGAAATTTACATTTGATACCAGAAACTAAAGAAAAATAAATGTTTTTGACATACACAACAGTGGCATTTGTTTTTATTGTGAAGTTTGATGTGTTTGAGTTCCAGACTACTTCCTTTCAGTTTAAAAGAACCCGGGTCCTTTAGTCAGAGAGGTAATGGTTCGTGTTTGCAGTCCTCTTCACTGCTTCAATATATTTTTAGTTGTGAGTATTTCAATCAAAGAGTGATTAGACCTCTCAGATTCACTGTTAGTTAGTTATCTCTCTGTGCCTCTACCGAGTGTTGTACAAGCAAATATTAGAGAAAAGTGAGGAATACAGGACATTTTGAGAAGTAGAACAATATTTTCCTTCTTTTCTGTCTCATTTATTGGCTGGTGACCCCTCAGATTGGTCTGGCAACCCGTTCAAGGGGTCTCAAACCTCTGGGTTGGAAACCACTGATCTGAAGGATCTATAATCCAAACTAACTGCAGTGTCTCTCTGTTATACTGCATATTCTCAAACCAGGAATGGTTGGAAAAATGTGGCTGGTTGCTTTATGGTTTGTTTCGTGTCGTCTTCATGTGAATTTTGAGGACCAATTTCTAAGACATGATTTCAAAAAAGACCAAAATGTTGTTCTTGATTGTGAAATTTAGATCCAACCTAAAACCGGTGCTGCAGTTGAAGAGATCTAAGACCATGTACACCCGCCAACTCTTCTTTATAGACTACACCAACAGGGAAGGTTGAGAACTCTCCGAAATAATGCTAATATTGTTGTTACTTCATCTGACAACCCTGGTTTTTTATCTTTATTGTGGTTTTAAAAAAAAAAACCACCATATTTCTTAAGATCTGTGCATGTACAGTATTATCCATCTAGTCATTTGTCCATCTATCGTTTATTTAGTTTATTTGCAAAGTCTACATGTATGTAATTTGTCTTAACAAGTTTAGTTGTCGGTTTCCATTTATTGACTGTAAGCGAGGAGGCAGTAGTAAAGGTGTGTTTCCCTGTTTGGGATTAGATCCTTGTAAAAATGTTCCCTCTAACTTACCACTCACGTCTCGGGCTCTGCTGGTTGCTGCCACAGAGGACTAAATGTTGCCTCGGATGAACGGAGGGCTTCCATTCGCAGAACTCTCTTAGAAACGGGGAGTTTTGTTTTCCAGAATGCCAGACTGTTCATGTTTGCAAATGTCAACATTTGTAAAAGCCGTTGTTGAGCTGCAGCAGACTGAGGGCCCCCAGAGGGATTAGAGGAGGCTCTGTTTACCTGCTCTGAGGAATGCTGCCCTGCACGGACGCTTTTGTATCTGTCAGGCACCCAAGGTCACAGTGCCGGGAGAGATGGGCTGCTTTGTCCCCCTCCAAAGTTTCCACCTCGCAGTATCAACAACAAAACACAATGTGGGCGACCTGGGAGAAGGAAATGGAATTCCTGCTCATGTTGCTACAGTGTTCAGAAACTCAGCTTCAATGGCCCCGTTTACCTTTGATTGAGTCTGGGTGAAGGGTTGGATCATTTTTGTCATCTTGATTGGAATATTTTTTTTTAAATCACATTATTCCTTTTGTATTTTCATATATTTTGGTAATTCATTTGCCCTTCTGTTTCTCATGACATGTGCATGTAGTCCACCTTAAATCATTAAAAACAACCAAATTGAAAGCGACTTCAGTTTGTTCTATTGGCCCACAGATCTTCCCACAAATCAATTTATTTAGTGGTTAACTCAGAATACCAGTTGATGCCCCTTTCTGCCTGTGAGTGGAGTCCCTTTTGCATATACAAGTATTTACATCTCCAAGCTGTTGAATATTTTCCACTATTTCCAGGCATTGCCAAGCAGAACTACCGGCGTTTCACCACATGGTGTCGCACTTGCACAACTTAATAACCATGCTCAGTGGGAGAAACTGATGCTGTAATCAATCTCAGAAAGATTATGTAGCCTTCTAATACCACAGCACACCTCCAGAGGACCAGAAAAAAAAAGCATCACTAAAACCTCACTATTAAGTGCTACATGCGCACTATAAGTCCCTGTGAAAATATTGGAGGATTATAGCGATTTGTTAAGACTGACAAATGTTTTACTAAGCTGTGATTCAAACAATGGCTGCGTTTCTTCTTTTGGACCGGAGTGTCAGTCACTGATGGAGCAATATGACCTCAAGCAGCAGACACCGAGAAGCACATTTAAGGGCCAACAAACACACTCGTGTTTAATTTGTCTGCAAGTTAGAAGTTATTTGCGGAGGGCAAACCTCGTTAAATTTGACATGGGCTCTCAACATTTCGCAAGCATGCAAAAGGTAGTTCAAAGCGCCATATTTCCTCCATTTTCTGAAACAGGCCGAAAATTGTTCTGCTGGCTCTCCAAGGAGGCTGAGCTCATTCAATTAGCATGTGAAACAATTGTTATATGTTAATTATGAAGCAGAATTATGTTCGTTTTTAAAGGATGATTGGATCCAAAGGGGGAGAATATCAATACACAAAGCATGGCCGATTTGAGACCTTCATTTGACCGGGAAATAACTCCCAATGTTCAAATGTTCCTCCTTGTGTGTCCAGTGAAGCTCATTCAGACAAAGACATGTAACAACTGCAAGTTTGAAGATTTTCTTTATCTCATTTTGTAATAAACATATAAATAATAAACTCTAGACATTTTTTGACGCATCGCCCTGTTATGAAAGTTAACTGGTATGGTCTGGCTATATAGACTATCCAAACTTTGCATCTGCCGCAGGTCATTTCTATAAAACTATTTCCCTATTACAAAATATGAAAAGAAAAATACATTTTAGTACATTTACAGGAGTTACTTATTAATTTATTTAACGAAACTGTTTCAGTACTACTTTAACTGTTACTGAATTGTCAGAATCTGCATTTAATATTTTTCTCAGAAGAAAACAGAAAAATAGAAACACAACGAAAACAAAAAAAAGAAAGAAAGCAGAGAATGCAGACATGAGGCAGAATATCTGTCCCTCTCCGACAACTTAAACGAACAGTTTCCAAAATAATAAAATTCTTAATAAACCAAGCAGTACAAGATTTTCCAATACTTTCCCAACTACTGTATTTAAATTAAAATATATTCTCATATCTTACACTATTTCAAATAACGAAATGTGATTCGGTAGCGATCTGTCAAAATCTAATTTACAATTCTGTGTATAAAAATATAATTTATGGAACCCCGCGAAGTTTGTTCTCCCCAAAATATAACAGTCAGTTGCACATATGCACATATGAACATTACAACCTGTCAAAGTTAGCTCCTTTCTACATGTTCTTCTTTCTCTTTGCGATATTTTTTCTTTTTCGTTTTTTTCTTCGTTTTTTCTTTCGTTTTTTTTTTTTTTTTTTGCATTTGAAGATATACAAAAATAGATTATGCACAATTTGCTGCTCACACCGTTTCAGAATCCATTTGTGTGGCAGCAGCGAGTTCACATGAGAATAAATTATTCAAAGAGAAACTTTTTTAAGGCTCCATTCATTCTTTGAAAGGGGACACATGGAAAAGTCACTGAAATAAATATCCCAACTCCGCTGGGGCCTTTGTCTTGTCTGTTTGCTCGTTCGTTCGTTTTTTTTTTTAATTATTATTATTATTTTATTTCGTTTTAAGCTACTGAATAGTTCGTGTGTCCTACATTTAAGTCTGGTTCTGCTCCTGTAGTAGAAGTTTCAACTCGTGTATACTGACATCCCAAGTGGATGGATCGAGTGGCTGTCCAAGAGCCATGTTCCCAATTGATAAAGGATCTTGGAGTACCAGTGCACTCCGTCGTTCTGTGCACTGACTTGAGGCTGGGAAGTGAAAAGCAACGAGGACACCCAGTGGGCGAGCCTGACAGGTGCCAGGGCCCAGTGCGCCAGGTCGTGGTCTTCGATCACTGCGTAACAGGACGCAAGGACCTGGTCCACCACGACGGTCCCCTGCACGGTCACCGGCGCAAAGGAGCCCTCGTGCTCTTGCGTGTAAATCCGTTTTACGTTCACAGGCTCGAGTTGACCTCGCTCGGCATCGAACACGAACACCTTTTGTCCACGTTGGACTTGGCTGGCGAAGATCGCCGACATCCGCTCCTCCTCGTCCGTGCTGTTGTGGCCGACGAAGAGGAGGTGCGCGGCGGTGAGGGTGATTTTCTGGCCCGAGTCGGTTTCGATCACGTAGAAGAGCCTCCTGGTCGTCGAGTCTTGGTCTATGAACATGATGAAGTCGGTGTAAATCGGGTTTCCGTCGTTATCTGCTGCCAGGACCCTGTCGCCGGTTCGGAGGTCTTTGACCGCCTTCTTGGTGCCATCCTGCAGGGTGACAGTGGAGGAGCCTGGGAAACAGCCGCCTGACTTTGCTGCCACTGAGTTTTCTGTTAAAATAAAAGATGAAGAAGTTGTTAAAATATATATAATTTTTTTACACCATCATAAAATGTTGATTAAGTAGAACACATTGTGCTACTGCAAATTTATTTTTTTAAAAAACGCCTTCAAGATACATCAAATGTCCCAAAGCAGCAGTATTTAAAAGCTTTCCAACACTTTTAGTACTCAAAAATAAATAAATCACAGGTGCTTTGAGCCATTACAGTTCAGGACCACCGCCCCATTCAAAAGCCCATTCAACAACCTTCCTTTTTTTTTGCTCGTATTTGTATTTTTCCTGCCTACACACATCGTGGTGGGCCATATGCATTTTGCATAATGATGCCCTGTCTGCTCCTCCATGCCAAATGCGTATTGGCTTGGCCCACGTTGTCTGAGACGAGAAAAAAAACTGAAAGCCTTGGCTCATCTATTCTTAATTAAAAAACCCAATAAAGAGCAGGCATTGTTATTCTAAATCAGCTTGTGGATCGAGCTACTCTCTGTAAAGAACACTTACGCCTTTCCCAGCTACTCTTCCCATATTTACTCAGGTGCAGAAACCTCTATGTGACAATTCACACAAATAGGCGACTCACAACTACTGTTTACCCAGTGGAGCCACTTTTCCAAGCCTCTCGAGTTGTAGATTTGAATTTAAATGAGGGCCCGGACTCTTAAATGCT